AGCCGGGGAAGTCGAACCGCGGTGTTCCCAAGAAACCTTCATCGCAATGTAGTGGGATGATCACCACGATCCACAGGGACTTGAACACCCACCACGATACTCATAATACACGACATTCAAATAAGTTGCAAACCTCAAACAATGTGTGTGATAGGTTACCGCCGTTGCTTTTAATTGCGGTTCGCTGAATGTTCAAGTTTTCGGTTCGCTGTTTTTGGACCGAGGTTGAATAGAATATACTCCGCCCGTTCTTTTGACTTGGGACTGTCTGGGAATTTGGGGAAAGTAAAATGAAAATGCGAAGAAGTGGTAGACTTGTTGGAGCAGGTTCCCAGGCGGAGTCGAACCGCCGCCTTCCCACGACACTCCGCAGAAGATCCAATGTAGTGAGATGATCGCCGCGATCCACAGGGACTCGAGCACATCTGGAGGGAAGCACCCCGAGACACGACACAGCGCTGTTGGTTTGTAGGTCACTGGCTAAAATTGAATTTACTCTGCCTGTTCTTCCAGTTTTGACTTTGACTGTCCAGGAACTTGAGGAAAATGCGAGGAAGTGGCAGGGGATACCTGCTGAAACGAAAAAGGTTGGCATGTGTTCTGAAAAAGGCCAATTAGGTCCCCGGGTGGAGCCGAACCACCGCCTTCCCATCAAACTCTAGAGTCTGCACTACGCATTGAGTTAGGATGATCTGCCTCGATAGACAGGAACTTCAAGACCCTTAGAGCGGAGTGCCATGATCTCTGAGGAGTGATTGGAGGATAGTGCTGTTGCAATTCACGTTTGTGATGGTTGGATTTGGATACTGGGTGGAACTGAGTTTTCGAATCGAACATGCCAGATGGACGAAGGGAAAAGGGGCAGGAAACGAATTTCAAAGAAGAATATGAATCAAAATATCTCTTCATTCAACAACGCATTTCTCTGGGCGGAGTCGAACCGTCGCCTTCCCGCAGAACCAAGCACACAAGTTATTGATTAGGAATCATTGATGATCTGCTGTGATCTACAGGGACTTTAATACCTGTGAAGAGACGTGGGATATGTATGTACACGAAAAATTTGAAACTGTGTGGTTTAGTAAATGGTTTCGGTGCCGATAAATTTACTCCGCCCCTTCCTTTGGGAAGTTGAATAATAGGAGGGATTCACACCGGATAATACTCAAAGGTCCGATAGGTTCCTTAAAACAATCACGTTTGAGGAATCAGTGTTGTATTATATCAAGCTTGAGTCTGGTTCAAGTTACGTGGTTGAACTTGGAGTTCAGTTTTGGAAATTGGATTGAAAAAACATGACGAGAATGCAACGGATTTGCAAATGGAAATAAAGACATGGGGTGCAAAAGAAAAGCTTGGAGCCCGGAAGATCTGAACGGAATTGAACCGCCGCGTTCCCAAGAAACTTGGTGCCACACACGTAGTGCGAAATGCAGTGGGATGATCGCCATGATAGACAGCGACTTGAGTACCTTTGAACAGAAGCACCCCGATACATGAGGAATCATTGCTGGTTTTGATTGCAGCTTTCAATGCGCGGAAGGGGCAGAGGATACATAAATAATGTTGCGGATTTAAGGAATTTGGCGGGCGCACGAATGTCCTTAAAGCTGCGGTTCACGATGAACTGTGTGATGGGGACAGTTGGGTACGATCTCAGATGAGCTGTTGAATGTGCACAGTTCATACCATATTGACTGTTAAATTCTGACCGTTAGTTCGTGGGATTAACTGTGCCTTCCAGACGGTTCACTTCAACTGCGCGTTCCGGACAGATTCGTAGTGTATTTCTCTGCAGGTTCAGCCTTTTGGTAGTCGATTAAGCGAACATCCCCGAAATCCCCGATCCTTGATGAGTGGTGTGGTAGGCAGTAGTCTTCTGGTGCGTCTGCGACTCCCTTGCACCAGGAACTAAAGGGAGACTGAAAGCGCAAGGCATTTTGGTATTCACGCATTTTGGGATACTCCCCTATACTGAAAATGTCGACTTATTAAACAGTGACCAGAGACAAAGAGAATTGTCAATTCATCCAACAATCCAATTGGAATTAAGATTTTACTTGGTGTTCCGTCGTGTTCAGCATTGCAACTTGACAATGTTTAACCAGTGGAAGTGCACAGTTGCGAATAGTTCAAACAATACGGGCGGCAAACTCAAATGATTCAACTATTCACTCTGCAGGCATTCAAACAGAACAGTTACCGCCCAACTGCTGAACTGTTACGCTTCAGAGGTACTCATATATAACAGTTGAAGTGGAATGTCCAGATTTCACAGTTCCACGAGGCTCAACCACAACACCAAAAATCAACTGTTGATATGCAATGCCTGAAAGATATTCAGCTACGATAGCAGAGGTCAAGTGTTCAAAATACACAATTCGACAATGTTCAACCTTAACACCAAAAATCAACTGTTGATATTCAACACCTGAACAATGTTCATCTGCAACAGCAGGGGTCAAGTGTTCAAAATACCTAGTCATGGGATGCAAATATCTGCTACTATGACCGGCGGTGTACACCAGGTCATCGAAACCTCGCATGGAAAACAGGATGAGCCATCCTCTAAAAGCCGCTGGAAGGCGAACTGTTCAAGCAGTATTTAAGGCCAATTTTCAGGGAAAAACCAGAGCAGCAGCTTTCCGGGCTGATTTTCTATGGGCCTCGAATTTCAGGTTTAAATTTCAACATAGTCACTGCGAAGTCAGTACATAGTACAGTAGGTGTAGATTTAAGCTCCTGACGAGATGTTGGGACTACACACTTTGTGCCAACTGTTTGATCGAAATGCCGGGCAGCTGTCTAATCTGTTCAGTTGAGTACCCCGTGGCCTTCAGGTTTGCCTCGCTATTTGGAAAACTCAAAATGGTTGCTGCGTGGTTTGGAAATTATCTTCCTGAGGCTGCTTGATCTCCTCCATCATACACAGTGTACACTGGTTGAAGTATTGAAAATTTTTGACCTCAAAAACTGGCGAAAAACTAACAAAGCTGTTCATCAGTTTTTCAATCAGAAATTACATGAAAAATTCATTAGTTTTTCAGCAGTTTTCGAGCAATGTGGTAAAAAAAATTGAAAGATGTGAAAAACTAATGAAAAAGTTATAAAATTTTCACCAAACTTTTGATTGAAAATACAGGTGAAAAACTCATAATTTATCACCCATATTTTCCCTGGAAACCTTGAAATGTTCAACCAGTAGTATGTATATTTTGAAATCACACCTTATATTCATTAAAACACGGAGGGTTGGTTACCCATTCAGTTGCGTTGTCATGAGGAGCAACGTGAGGACCAACTTCCGGAAAAACATGCTGGGGGAGACTAATTGTACGGGGATGAATCAGCCACAGATAGGAAGTTGAGTCCACTGTGGAGGAATGTGAATTTAATGCAGAGAATAGGATTTACTATATACCTCCATTGCACATGAGAATTGATTCAACTGAGCCGTTGGAACTTGGGGGCAGCGCAGCGTGCTCCGCTGCTCTCGCGGTTGAGCAAGGCTGAATCCTACCTCTGACAATATGTCATAGATCTGTCCTCAGTCAGCTGAACACGACAAATTGCGCAAGTTTGTATCATTTAAAAAGCAGTATCAACATACTAGGGAGGTTGTGCAAAAGCTGCACAGGCCGCATGCGGCTATTTTGCATTGTGCAAGGCCACATGTGGCACTGTGCGGCTTTCATTTTGGTATCTATTATGTATCCACCCTTGGCATACAGTGATTTCAAAGCTGTCACTGTCGATTCCAGCATTGCATAGGAGGAGGAAGTGTTGAAATGGCCTTTTTTGGTCCCATCACAGCCATAGCTGCTCGGCGACTCTAGTGAAAGCCAAAAAATGACGTCAAACAGGATGCACATTACATTTGGTAAGTGGTTGAATATACTGCATAGCATCCAATTTACCCATATTTCCTCCAAAAGAACATGAATCTGCCCATAAACCCTTTGGTTTATTGCACGGCTTTGCACAATGCAAAAAAGCTGCACGCGGCCCGTGCGGCTTTTGCACAACCTCCCTACTCTCAGCAAGCCCCAAAATCAAATTATATTGTGGAGGGCAGCACAGAGCTAAAGAACCAAGGCGGAAGCACCTGCGGGCGGCGGAACACGAAATATTGAATTTGAAGGCTGAGTGTGTTCTAACCTCTAGAAAGTGGTAGTACAATCTGTAGAATGTGGATGTGAGGACAGAAAGAGAAATACTTGAACACACTCCCCTGGTCAGAACATGAAAAAATAAAATAAAAAGATCTCGGACGGCGGCACGTGGGGTGAGGCGTAATTGATGCTAGATTACATCCGACACGTTAGCAAGGTGCTGGATATAGAATGTGTGAGGCTTGGAATGTACCTGGTCGCATAAATGCACTCTCCTGAACCTCCAAACATTGAAGAAGATCGGAGAGCGGTGCTCTATGCCACCAGTGCGCAGGGAGGTCCGACATACGTGATGCGGCCGGGACGTGATCATGCAAAGTGAAGTGTGTAAGTGATGAAATAATGAATATCAGTCCGGAGCATTGGATGAAATGTCCCGGCAGCCTCAGGCTGAGAGCACCCGTCAGATGCGAAGAAACAACAGTTGGCTTTGCACTGTGGAAATTGTCCAGCTCGAATGAGTCTTGCCTAGCTGGGAACACCCTGCTTCCTTAAATCTTCCAGGACTTTGACTACATAGTTGCTTCAAAAAATTCAGTTTCGGTATGGGTTCTGGAAAAGGGAGTCCAGAAAAAGCACAGCCCTGGGCGGAGTCAGACTCGGAGTTTGTTGCGTTGCAAACGACATAGGATGATCTGGTGCAATCCACAGGGACTTCAGTATTAATACAGTATACTCCTCAAGAGAGGCTGAATACACGAGCAACTTTGCGGAGTGAAGGGTGCAACTCTGCCGTTGACCAAATTCGGTCTCGATCATATCTGTGGAGACCTACTTACCAATGCATCCAAAGGCCTTGCGTTCAAAAACGAAGTGTTGGGGATAATATGTCCCCGGGCGGAATCGAACCACCAGCTTCCCAACATATGTAGGACGATTCACACACCACTAATGAATTGGGATGATCGACCATGATCTACAGGGACTTCAAAATCCTGGGAGTGGGGTGTCATGATCGGTGAGGAATGAGGGTAGGATGGTGCTACAATTTTCAAGTTTTTCTGGCTGGATTTGGATTTGGATACTGGTGTAAAATTAAGTGTTGAAATCAAACAGGCACATGTCCGTGGGCGGAATCGAACTGCTGCATCACTGCAAATCCAACTCAGTCACTCATTGACCAGAGATGATCTGCCGTGATCCACAATACGCTCGGAGGGAAGCACCATCCTGTACATCAAACTCGAAGCCATGAATTTGCTGTGAGCTTGGGTTCACAGTTGAATGCAATGATTCATGGGTCAATGCACCAACCATTTTGTGCCCTGGCTCAATTTTTCAAGTCATACGAGGAGCAGGTATTTTCCGAGTTGAGCATGGAGCTGGTATTTTTCAAATTGAACATGGATTGACAATGGATCAAAGAGAGAAAGAAAGGCACGTTCTGCGTAATGGGTTTGAAAAGCAGAAGAAAAAAACCAAAAAACCACAAATGGCCGTTGTGCTGAGTCCTATGTTGCTGGGCGGGGTCGAACCGCCTTCTTCCCTAAACCCAGCTAAAATGAGCCAAATCATTGATTAGGTATGATCTCCCTCGATCTATAGGGACTTGAACGCCATTGGAGTGAAGCTTCATACACGATAGGTACATCACACTCTAAGCCATGCCTTGCGGAATGAACATGTTGGGTTCGCAGTTAAATCTGATGATTTGTGCGTTGGTCAATGCACCCTTTTGTGGTCCGGATTCACTTTTGCAACTCGAACATGGAGCTGTTGTTTTGATTGAATATGGATCAACGCGCATACAACAAAGAACTCAAAGAAGAAGAAGGAAAAAAAAAGAACCCCACAGAGATATGTCCCCGAGCGGAGTCGAACCGCTGTTTTCCCAATACAATTCCAAAGAATTTGGCGTACGAAATAGGGATGATCTACCGTGATCCACAGGGACGTGAATAGCTAGGTCTGAAGCGAGGCTGACTGAGGCTGAGTGAAGGCGGGATTTTGCCGAGAGAAGTGAAGAGTGCCACTTTGCAGCTGGCTGAATTTGGTCTCGATCATGTATGTATGTGCTATCTTCAGTTGGACGGGTGGGACGGGAGATAAAAGGTCTAAATTGCGTTTAAGAAAAAGAGGCACTGCGAAATAATCATGTCCCTTGGCGGAGTCGAACCGCCATGTTCCCCAGAAATATTCATCGTCCTGAAGGATGCAATCATTACAATGGAGTGGGGTGATCTGCCGCGATCCACAGGGACATGAATACCGTGGACCGGAGTATGGACACGAAGGGTTTGCAACGGTGAGGAATGCGCGACTACCCCGCCGTGGGTTTAATTTTACATACAGCTCAGGAAATGGTTTGGGTGTGGTTGGGTTTTCCCCGGTTCTTTCGCAGACTGTGAAAACTTGAGGGAAATAAAATGTGAGAAAGTGGGCCTGGCCGGGGGATGTGTGTGTAACTGCTTGAAAAAGAAAATGGTTTCGGTACGGGTTCTGGACAAAAAAAGGCCACACAATCTTAAATCAGGTCCCCGGGCGGAGTCGAACCGCCGCTTCCCGTAAATACTGCAACGCGACGTGTTTGTTATTGATTGGAGATGATCAGCCGCGATCTAAAGGGACTTGAATGCCTCAGAAGCGAGCCTGAATGCACGAGGGAGAGATTTTGCGAGTGAGCAGGTACTTTTTTGTACATGGAAGATTTGAAGTTGCCGCCGTGTTTTCGAAATTTAAATTTATTTAAATATTACAGTTTCATCGAATATGCTCGCAGTGCGTTGATAATTAAGACCCCGTGCGACTGTCTCTTCAAGGTACAACTCACGATCAACGTTAAGGGTTATGGCATCAGACATCCGGGAGTTACGTCATTGACAAACCCTAACCTCGACCACGTTCCCGTCTCGCTCTTCCTTCCTGCTCAGCGTATACGGAGGAAGACAATCATGGACATGGACGGTAGTGGCGGCAACGTCGACATGAACGCGAGCACGCTGCCCGTGAGCTATGCGAATGTAGTTACCGACTGTGAGTCCCCCTTTTCCATCAGCACGAGAAGCCCAAACCGAGTCCGTGGACCTGGTTTTGGAATTTGTATTCGCTACTGCTACTACTACTATTCATTCTCGCTGTGCGATTATCGACGCTGACGGATGCGCAGACAATACGAGCTGCCGATATGGCAGGAGCCGAAGCAGGCGCGCATGTATGGTATTGGCAGGAAAGGTGCGTCCTTATTTTATATGATTCCCTTGCTGACGCTTGCCACAACGCAGCGGACCGACACCCCATCGACCCGCCCGTGATCGTGCAGCTGCGCGTTGTCGACCCCGCCGCGTCTTCCTCTTCCTCCCACCCTACCTCCTCGGCGGGCCCCTCCTCCCCCAGCCGCGAAAACGGACCGCAAGATAGCGCTAATGCCGACTCGGACGACCCGCCCTACAAGAACCTCACGTCCTAAGCACAGTCGTTTCGACAGACTCCGTACTACTTCATGTTCGCGTCGCTCGCCAAGCCGGACGGCGACACCGAGCTGCACTGGCTTAAGGACGGGCGCGCGCGGTGTACCACCGGGAGCGTGGTCAGCAGTTTTATGCGCTCAAGTATCCGACCACGCCGCGTGCCAGTACGAACAATGGGGATGCAAGTGAGAGCCCAGCGGCGGCGAAGTACAGGCCGACGATGGGTGCGCGTGTGCTGCTAGTCTTCGTATGGAGGCAAAGGCTGATCACGAGTTGTGCTGCAGCGTCCCCCGCGCCAGACGCGGGCTTCTTCGTCTTCCCCGACCTCTCGGTCCGCAGGGAGGGCTCGTATCGCCCCAAGCTTAGTCTGTTCGAGTCTTTGGGTGAGTGGGCATTTACTTTCTCCCTTATTCATGTTTCTTTGGGGGAAGAAACTGTATTCCGCGCGAGGGTACCGCCGCGCCTCACCTCTCCTTATACTCTATACTATACTACGTATCCGGCTCGCTAACCCCGACCCCCACCGCCAGGAACGACGTCCGCCACTGCAAGAGCATCTGCAGCATGCCGTTCTATAACTACACCTCGAAAACGTTCCCCGGCATGGAGGGTTCGTGGTTCCTCCTTCAGAATCAGTACACGTGAATTTTTGGAGGGCTGTGGGGAAGACGCGTACCTGGAACTCAGGTGCGGGGTTGTCGAGCCCTCGCTCTGTTCCAGCCCCACGTCGGTGTCCCCTCGCCTCGCGGGTGTGGCGCGACTCGTAGGCGCATCCCTCCTTCCCCCCGCTGCGTCCACCTCCCTCCCTTGTCCTCGTTCTGGTCCCCCCCTTTTCCTCTTGTCGTTCTCCTTCTTGTCGTTCTCCCCTCCCCTCCCCTCCCCTCCCTCCCTCCTAATCTCCACTCTTTCCCCCTCCCTCTCCCCACCCTCATCTCACACTTCGCCGACGCTAACCCACCTGTCCACAGAATCCTCTCCCCTGACCTGCTCCCTCCCCGACCAGGGCATCAAGCTCCGCATCCGGAAGGACATCCGCACGCGCAAGGCGTCGGCGTCGCTGTGGGCGGGCCGCTTCCTCCTGGAGCTGGCGGTGAGCACACGCGCGAGTTCCTTTTCTGGCAGAACGAAGAGCGATATGCTTGGAGCGGGGATGACATGGGATGTGTTGGATGCGTGTGCGTGCAGGTGGAGTGGTATCCATCCCTCTTGGCTCTTCCGCTTCCGCACGAGGCGGGTGCGCGTGCGCCCAGCGATGGGGATCCCGCTCTGCTAAACAGACTGGGAGCGCGGACGAGCGAATGGGGATGAATTGATGCGCGATGCGCGCTTGGAGATGACGAGAGCGGTGGGGGCGCAGGCGTGGGCGCAGGTGTAGGCGTGGACGCTGCGCCCGAGCAGGGGTTCCTCCCCGCGGAGGTGCGCGGTGCGCCGCTGCGCTGCGCTGCAGCCCCCTTTTTTCTTTCTTGCTTCCTTTCGCGTTCGCTCGTGTCGTGTTCTACCCCTGGCACCATGCGTACTCTGCGGATCCGGATTCGGACGCGGACGCGGACGGGCAGCATGCGATGGTTTTGCAGGTTGTATTACCGTGCGGGTGGTGCGTGTACGGGAGGAGGGGTATCTATCTGTGCATCCCTCTCGGCTGCCGTCACTCTTCCGCGCGAGGCGGGTGTGTGTGCGCCCAGCGATGGGATGCCGTTCTTCCGTACAGACATGGGGGCACAGACGGATTGATCGATGCGCGATGCGCGCTTGTAGATGACGAAAGCGGCGGGGGCGCGGGCGTACGCGCGGGCGCTGCGCCCGAGCAGGGGTTCCTCCCCGCGGAGGTGCGCAGTGCGCTACCGCGCTGCGGTCCCCTTTTTCCTTTCTTCATTTCTTTCTTTCTTGCTTCCTTTCGCGTTCGCTCCTGTCGTGTTCTACCGCTGGCGCCGTGCCTACTCTGCGGATCCGGATCTGGATTCGGACGTGGACGCGAATGGGCAGCACGCGATGGTTTCGCGGGTTGTCGTATTACCGTGCGGGTTGTGCATCTACGGGAGGGGGGTATCCATCCGTGCATCCCTCTTGGCTGCCGTCACTCTTCCGCGCGAGGCGGGTGTGTGTGCGCCCAGCGCTGGGGATGCCGTCGCGTACAGACTGGGAAGGCACACGGGTGAATGGGGATGAATTGATGCGTGATGCGCGGTTGGAGATGATGAGGGCGAGGAGAGCGGCGGGGTCTGCCATGGGCGTAGGCGTGGGCGCTGCGCCTGATCAGGGTTCCTCCCCGAGGTGGGCGGTGCGCTGCGGGATGTATGCTCTGCTTTCCTTCACGGTCGCTTCGCTTGTGTCGTGTTTTCATGCGGGCGCCTTGTATCGTATCATGCGGATCTGGATCTAGATTCGGACGTGGACGCAGACAGGCAGCATCCGATGTTGGTCGTATTGTCGTATTTGCGGATTTTCAGATTTTGGTTCGAGAGGCGGCTAGCATGCACCGGGGCCCGCCCGCTCCTGCCCTCCTACCTAATCTCACCTAT